CTTTGAGGCCCGAAGGTAGGTATGTTTTGGCAGTGCTTACTTTCAAAATTTAATTGCAAAGTTCATAATAATATGTCGAATATTATATTCAGTTAGAACAAAATATTTAATATTCTCAAATGATCAACTAAAAATCGATATTATTTGTTATATCGAAGTTAGTCTGTATTACGACAGTTAGTCTGTATTACGTAAGTGGGAAAAATAGTCAACGCATATCAACAGTGTCATGCGGACCAATTAAATGCCCAGAATCGCACAGACACATTTGAAATGCCTGTAAACCATACATTACGTTGTACGTTGTACAAACTCCGTTCCTGGTATACACTACGTTATACGTTGTACAAACTCCGTTCCTGGTATGATGTTTTCGATATTAGTAAATTATTTGATTTACTGCTGGTTAGTAATAAAATATAGATTCAATTACGGCTATATACTTATTTGTAGACAAATTTTAAAAATTTATCTAATAAAAACCTACATTTTTTTAAACAAAGTGTTGCACTAAATTTCATTTAGATTATTTGCGATTTACAATCATTATAAAATGTGTGTTCTTGTGCCTAAACTGCGATTAAATCTTTATTTTCTTGATAAAATTATGTATATTAAAAAATAATTATACATTTTCATATAATCTAATATATTATTATACAGTCGACTCTGGAAATAATGATCACCTATTTAACCAATTCTGGACATAACGAGTTCAAAATTGTAAATTTCATAACAGTTCGGTATAGAAAGTCCATGGATAGTAATTTTCTTTAAAGAGCCTTTTTCTTCTAAACTGTTATTTTGTTATAGAAAGAGTTTATTATAATTTACCAAACGAAATACTATTTTATGGCAATTTATCATACTTTGCTAAATAAAATATTATAATAATTTACTATATTTGCTAAAAAAATATCATTATAGTTATTCAATATGCTTGAAAATGAAAGTTCGTGTTTGCAAACTATATTTTTACTATAGTCGAAGTAAATCGCAGCAAACCACATACAAAATCCACACGTCCATGTATGAAAATAATAGTAATTCTCTGAATTTCACTATACAATTTATACCTTTCAACGACGATCTGCCACTTGATTATTTTTACTTCATCTAGTGCTTTTATTTATGATACACTTATATTATTCCATCATAAATCTAAGTTAGCTAAAGCGATATTTTTGCATAAAGCTTCAGCCAATACTTTTTTACTAAGATTATTCGATCTTAAATCTAAATTTATTAAAATGGTATTTTTGTATAAATCATTAATTAATGCTGATTCACCTACATCAGCAAAATTTTTTAAGAGATATGTATCAATAATTATTAGATAACTATAAGGTAGCTGCGCGACGCAGTCACGCTAGAAACCAGGAACGAAGACAAATATAGTAGTAACAAATAGTCCAAGTAACGTACAAACGAGAACTAATCTAGCATCCCATTAATATATCGCGAAGCATTGATAGACACTATAGGTAATCGACTCGCATGAGCTAATCAAACAAAAGTTTACAAGGAATCATATGATAAATTGTCTTTGACGATCAGCGATTATCATTCCATCAACCCAACAAAAAATCCTACGAAAAAAAAACAAAAAATGCCAAATATCAGGCAAATACGCAAATTAATTTGCATCGGGTTACCAATTTTTGCATCCGAAATTCCTTTTTTACTATCGTTATTTATCGCAACTACGATATCATTCATGTTTGCGTTTTTTGTATTCAAATTATGCTCTGTGATTGCATATCCGAATGCACGTGCATATCAGTTGATCTATATGCGTGATGAATTCATGTGTGAAAATAATGCGTGATGAATTAATGTGTGAAAAATAACCAAAAATTTGACGAATAAATCATGCGAACCAATCAAAATTAAGATTTTGACGGCGGATACCACTTATTGTTCCATATAAACCATCTACTTCGTGATTTCATCACTCCGTTCCTGGTATAATTAATATACTACATCTTTTCCAATTAATAATATTAGTGATAAATAATAATATATAAAAAACAATTCATAAATTTTAGTAAACTTTAAAAATGAATATTTTTACAATTAGTAACAATAACAATATTCATTTTATAATATGTATTAATTATTGTCTACGAAGTAGGCAATAACTAAAAATCGAACCCAAATCAGACGAACGGATAATGACAGACTGCGAAGCAGCATGGTTAAAAATCCATTTATTGACCGAGATCATATTAATAAAAATTCGAGATAATTTATGATTAGTGATCATGTTGATTGTTTTTTATCCTATAAAAAAGCACGTCTAAAGTATATTTATTATAAAATAAAGTCGAGCTGATTAAAAGATCTTTGGCCTATTTTTAGATCTTTTAAAATTGAATTATTTATATTGTACATGGTTGCACAATTGACTTTTTTTTTAGCTAATAAAAGGAAATCTAACCATTCTCTGTGAAGCAGCCAGTGTGCAATTCTGTGATCATCGTTATCCAATCACCGATCCACATTTAATTTTTATTATTATTCGTTTACGTACTAGAGTTATACAAGTATCATATTAGAAGCTTCATAGAAAATTCTAAGCTAAGAATACAACCATTAACGGCGCGATCTGCATTATAATAAAGGTTATGTGGCGATTAGATGTTCTACTGGAAAAATAAACATTCGATATGGAAAAGAGTTAAAGTTATTCCCTAAGAAATCAAAAGCATAAATAGCTTTATTTCCTATCAAATAAAAGGCGGATTTAATCTTTGTTTATAACGACTTTATTGTTTTATTCCTTTAACAAATTAATTTAAACATTAATTAACCTGATTTAACCTCATTCCACAAACGTAAAACATTTATGTGAACTAGTAAATTATACGCAATTTTTGCTTTCTAGATATAAAAGCTAGATAAAATAAAATAAAGATTAATATGGTTTACCGCAAAGAGAATTGCGTAAACTGCGATAAATATCAAATACTTAACCGTAATAAGCTATGCAGTAGCTGTAAACCTAAATGCACCAGCTGCAATAAAAAAAAGGAACTTTTAGATGAGAGTAAATTATGTGTCAGTTGTTATTATAGCCAAACACAGTTCCAGAAAGTTAGTAGCGGAAATCATGATATTGACGATTTAATAAAGGCAACACATAATAATCAGCCTAAATTTAGATTGGAGTGGATCCCGTTTGAGGACTTTACAGATTTAACCCAAATTGGAAATGGTGGTTTTAGTGAAATATATATGGCCAAATGGACAAAAGGAACAATAAAAAGTTGGAACAGAATAGAAAAAAGATACAATCGAAATAAAAATGAAACGGTTGTATTAAAAGTTCTTAAGGATTCGCAAGATATTAATTCGACATTCTTAAAAGAGGTAATAATAAATAAGCCTTATCTTAATTATCGGTAGATTACTCTAAACATTTTACCACTTTTTTTTTGCAGTTACAAAATATCGTTAAAAGCCAACCTAATTCTTACATGCGCCGCATTATTCAATGTTATGGAGTATCACAATTTCCAAAAACAAATGATTTTATTTTTGTTATGTCTTATATGTCTAATGGAAGTCTAAATGATTATTTATCTAATAATCTTAAGGATGTTACTTGGAATATAAAACGCGACTTTCTTAGGGATATTGCTACAGGCATTAAATGGATTCATAAAAATAAAATTGTACACCGCGATATACACAGTGGAAATATATTAATAGGAAATTTGAAAAGCAATGGTCCTGATTCTAACACTTTAATTGCTGATTTAGGGTTTAGTCGTCCAGCAAAAGATGATGTGGAAAGTTCAGAATATAATATATATGGAATTATGCCATATATTGCACCTGAAGTGCTTAATAAAAAACAGTATTCATTTAGTTCGGATATTTACAGTTTAGGAATGATTATGTGGGAACTTACAAGTGGATGTCGCCCTTTCTATGATCGGGAATATAACGCTAATCTTGCGCTTGATATATGTAATGAATTACGACCAAATATTACTGAAGATACTCCGCACTGTTGGGCTATTTTGATGCAAAAATGTTGGCAATCGGACCCCTTAAAAAGGCCAACTATTGATGAACTATATGATGTAGTAAATTCTAGATATTGGAATGAAAATGAAAGTTTTATAAAAGAAGCAGAAAATAAACGACAAAAATTGCTTAATGCCGGGAAATTAACTGTTAAATATATGCATCCTCATTCTAAAACTCACAGCCAATTATTAAATCCTACTATAGACTCTATGCTTTTAGATTTACTTCAAGGTTCTAAATCTTTTACATTACTCCCTATAGATTCTTTTCAAAGCATTAGCAGCGATTCATTTAATATTATGTAAGTAATTAAGTTTTTTTTTTTACAAATTAGAAATTTGAAATAATAAATTAATGTTTCTAATTTAAATGGATACCCAGTTCTGAGCACTTTAAAATCGCTAACAGTCTAAATTCAACGATAAACATACCACCTTCAAAAAAACACACTATCGAATTTTTACTAGATGAAAATTATCATGGTACAAAATTTAAATTTAATATTTATTTTATCGATCTCAAATTATTACTGACTTATTTTACGGCATTACCTGCATTATATTTATAAGATGAAATA